TGCATTCCTTCTTGTCCCACTTCTTTTCCCACTTCTTGTCCCACTTCCCAAAACTGGGAACCAGTTTGTATCCAGGCCCTCCGGGTTTACCGAGACAACTCCACTGAGCACTTGGGCCGGTGATTTAGTGTTGGTCNTTTTTTTTAATTCTTTACCATTTACCATTTAAATTCGTTTAATTCATTTACAATTTAAATTCATTTACCTCGACCTCAATGTTCCCCTCGGCTTCGCCTCAGGGAACATTGAGGGTCTCGGGGAAATAAAACTAACTGTTTCCCTTGGGCCAGTCATTAAGGTCCGGGTCAAACGCCGTACTTCACATGAGCCGAAACAAGAGATTATATCAAGGTAAGAGAGTGAATCCCCCATATGGGTCCTCTAACTAAGGTAATCCCTCTTAAGTTATTTTTAGACATTGTACCCAGTTCTTTCGCGGATATTACTCGCGTGTTGCGTGGATGTTTTCGTGGAGGATCTGTTTATGTTTCGTTTCGCTTCGTTTCAAAGCAAAGGAAAACCTCCACCGCTGTTGGGATGTCTTCTTTCATATTTTGATTACAGGCAAAGGAGCTTCGGCTCTCGGTATGTTTTAATACATTTTGAAACTTTAATAGGAGTTTAAATAAGAGACAGACGTCCCCGGCACAAACAATAACAATTGAATGAACCGCAGAGAAATGAGTAGACAAACGAGTGCAAAGTAAACAAACGCCCAAACACAAGCTAGACAACCGAAGAAACAGATGGTCGAAAGTGCAGGAAGACGCTCGCTACCCAAGTAGCAAAAGCAGTTTAAGCAGTAACGGCAACAACGCGAAAGGCAACATTGATTAAAACACGTCTTAATATTCAACCTACGAATCTCGCGAGAATTTAGATTCGTTCCGTTTGTCTATACTGTCAGAAATATCCCAAACAGAATTTGTAAGACAGCGCGTCAAAATTCGAAAAAGTTAGTGTTAAAAATCGGCCGTCGTATAGTTCACGTTCTCTCGAATATGCAGAATATGGTTATTTCACGTTGTTGTTTTGTGACCTTTTGTAAACAACGGCAAAGAAATGAACAAAGAATTATAACGCACGCCTATACAGCCATTGTACTCGTTGCCGTTGCCGTTAAAGTTTGCCTAATTAAACTTCCTACAACCGACTAAACAGCGAAATAATGAACAGCCAAACGAGCAAGAACGCGTGTTTGAGTCAAACGTCGAACTTAATTCAGTCGAACCGAACTGCTACACCAAACAAATAACAAAAGCGGTCTTGTTGGTCAGTGGTCATGTTTTCAAGGTAAAGTCAAAATGCCGCCTTTAGACCTTTGATTACGCGTTTGGTTCGGCTGGTGTGAAGTACGAAGTTTGACCCGGGGCTAAGTGCGTATTAAATTCTATAAATTTCTTACCATAATGAAAAGCCCAACGCGCTTACAGCTAATGAACTTCCAAAGTTCTTTTAACGGTCCACTTCAAGGGTCCTGTTTGTCTAATTCATAGCCTACGTGGCTTGGCGGTTTTTACGCAATTTTAGCGCCCTCAGAAAGCGGCGAAGCCGCGATAACGAGCGCTAAAGAGCGGCGAAGCCGCGAGGAGCCTGGGAAAGAGACAATTGAGAAACCGCCTGAACGAATGACCGGCATTTTTTGTTAGTCCAATGTTTTGAATTTGTTAGCCGCTTGATGGCGGCGAAAGGAAATCCTGTCAAGGGAGGAGCGCGCGAAAGGAGGGTCGCTCCTTTCGCGCGCCCCTCGCCTCCAGGATTTCGTGCGGCCATTTTTTTCTCGCTGTTTTCTTTCGCGTCACGCGCGACGGACTAAGCGAAAGAGGGACTACTCGTAGTCTAGACTCTATAGTATCACAGTGACTTTTCCCGGCCAAGTTGGCAGGAAATTTCTTATTACGATCTATGCTCTAATTAGCTGTGTTAATGCGATTCACAAAACCTGTCATCGGGTCGTCAAAATATGTAATACGGGGCGGCAACAAGAATGCGGTGTCCCAAGGCAGGCGGTTCTTCGCGGGCGGGCTCGCCGCTCGTTCGGCGCGGCTTCGCCGCTTTGTGCGCTCGCGCTCAAATTGCTTAAAAAATCGCTTAAACCGCCAAGCTACGCAGGCTATCTAATTCACAAAGCTTTGTTTTTTGGTTCAGGTCGGCAAGGGCATTCGATGATGTCACAGAACCTCCAGTGACGTCATGAATACTTTTCAAAGCTATGCCGAAGCATGTTTCATTTTATTTTATTATTGTAATGATAGATCTCCGTGCAGACGCCAAACAGATACTGAAATCCATCTTCATAATTCGAGAGTTTCCCTCAAGAAAAGTACGAAGTTTCAACAAACCTGTTTTGTCAATGGTAAGTAGTATTGAAGGACATCTTTTCAGTTTGTTTCTCCGATAACATGTATACATTAAGCTACAGTCATTTCATCCAGGGCCAGCTGAAGTCTCGGGACGAAACAGCAACTAAATTCAAATTCCTAACTTCAATTTTAGTAACTATGATTTATTTTTTTGGCCACAAAACAGCTCATGATTGATTCAGAAAGTTTGATCTGTAACAAGCGATTGGCTGATTAAGAGCAAATTATTGTTGCTTATCGTTCAGGTGAAGTAACAGTTTATGTCTCGTTTTTCAGAGCGTTTTTATACCCATTAACATTTCCGGCCCTGTTTACTTTCCAGAAACGATACTTTTTCGTTTTATGCACATTCGGAACGTAAGTCCAATTCTGGACCAATGACAAACTTTTGAATGATTGTTCAAACCACGAAAAAGCGAAGCAGTCATCTCATTACCAATGAGCGTAAAGCTCATACGCTCCGTCAATCCCCACATTATTGCACATTCAACCAAGAAGAGGCAAGAAAAAGAAAGGAATACAACGTGCTCTTGTCTAATTAATTCATTATGTTATTTTTTAGCGAAAATGTCTAAGGTTTGACGTATATGAACAAATTCCAATATCATTGGCGTACCTGACAAAAACATTCGTATTGTACCATTTCCTGAACTTAAACGCTTTATTTTCTTCACAATGCCTTGGCTATGTGGATTTATACCCCAAAGAACTGCCTATCACGCCGTTAATGATTTTAATTCTCTCAGCCAGATAATACGAGACTCTGCTAATGTTAATATTTTTAAGAGACAGGTTTTTAATTTTTTAACCTAAATGTTTTATGAATTTCATATTTTTAATTCTATTAATTAGTATTAATCTTTGAGGTCCTTTTCGAAAACCACCGTGTACGTGAAAAAGTTTTCTCAATAAAGATTATTATTATTATTATTATATCTAAGATTGTTGTTCTCAAATTCTGTGTTTGAGACAAAATCTTCCCATTCCGGGCCTCAGAGATTTGCATTCCTTCTTGTCCCACTTCTTTTCCCACTTCTTGTCCCACTTCCCAAAACTGGGAACCAGTTTGTATCCAGGCCCTCCGGGTTTACCGAGACAACTCCACTGAGCACTTGGGCCGGTGATTTAGTGTTGGTCTAACCTCGTCACATTCCTTCTCATTATTCTGTTTTTCATAAGCGTTTGTTTATCCCCCTCCAGGAGCAATATCCAAGATTCTAACCATGAAATACGAAGATAACTTTATCGTATTGTGTAAACGCAAACTTGTGAAAGTTACGTAAAGCAGACCTTGATTGTACATGTGCTTTTGTAAGAATTCAACAAGGAACTAAACAGTGTTCTTCTATAATTCAGCAGAATTTGTTAACTTCGAATTTGACGTAAATATCATTTTATGTGTTTTCTTTCGCCAGCTGGTAAATGCATAAGTTTAGATCACGTGATTACGATAATACTACGTGTCGATTCTTATTATTCCAAGGACAAATTTTCCTTGAGCATACTTAACTTCCTTCTTGCTCGGAAAAAATAAGTTCTATTTATACGCGTTTGCTGAGATGTACGGGACTTATTGACGTTGCTAATTAAAAGCATGTGTCTTTTCCTCTGAATTAATTTGGTCGAACACTGGAATAGCATTAGCGACATTTATTCATATCACGCACAAAGATATTTTTCTCTAATTATTTTTGTAATCGTGTTATGAAACCAAAAACAAGAAGTAGACCAGATTAAACTCTTAAAATTCCAGAAGTTACAAAATTCTTGGAAAATTACAAACGAAAATTTGTTATTGTTGACTTCGACGTTTTTATTGCAATTTAACTAATTGTAAAAAGGACGGTTTTTATGTTTGTGAAATGTTGTTTGCTGGTTTAAAAATAAACACTCATAAGACGATTGAGAATTATGTTATTTTAAATTAATATATCAAACGATTTTTATGAGATCCTTCAGGCCAGGAATCACCTTGTGTACGTTGTAGATGTGCAGGTCTCAATTCTGAAAGAAATTATTTATAGTTAACAACATTCGTATATTCAGGTCGTCGCCAGAAATTATTTCTGAAAATTGTAGAATACATGTTCCAATTAAATAATCACGACTTCTGGAAATACCCGGAAAAGAGAGAACTTCAACTTGTGTTTACAAAGCTGGACGAATGAAAAAATGCACAACACGTCGGGTTGGTAAACATATGAGCAATATTTACTTTGAACTCTTGGTAATGTTCTACATTAGCCCATTACAAGAGGAAGGCTGCAAATAGCATCATGAATACGGGAACACGACAGTTAAAGGACTATTTAACAGATGTGGTCGATTGAGATAATGAAAGTCTTCCCTAAAAAGCACCTAGTTTAAATCCAGCGCGTTAGAGTAAACCATTGAAATTCAAATCAGCTTGCGTTGCTACGATACAAGAAATTTATGTGAGACATGTCATACGTACGCAGTTTGATGAGATATGCACTATTATGGTGCCATGATTCTATTTAAGATCACGTTCTGTTTTTAAGCAGGTTTAAAGCCAATCTACATACCACACGCTGGTCAGAACAAAGAAAATCCACAACAGCAAAGACATCGGAGAAGGAAAGCTAAGTTTGTGTGTCGAGTGGTCGCTGCACCATTATGGGAAACGACATAACTCATCTACATGTTCCCATCGCAGTGAAAAACAAAACGACAAATGCGATACCCGCAAAAGGTAAATTCTGTGCTTTTCATTCTTTTTTTTTTTTTTTGTACCTTTATTCACTTCATAAAGATTATTTTTATCAATGGCATTTGCTGTTACATTTTAAAAAGGAGTTTACACCGCTAGTGCTGTTATAAAATGTCATTTCCCAACTCCTAATTCAGTCCTGAAACATCAGTGAACTAGTACGGATCAGATTTAATCTTTAAAATGAGATTGAAATATAAACAAGTGTCATACATTTTAGTTTAAACTCATGTTTCTTACAGACAACAGTGAACGTCGGGAAGAAGCTAGTTTGTGTGTTGTCAAAGATATTTATTCATACATAAAGTCAATGTCTTCAATTCTATCATCCAGCCCGAAGCATTTTTAGATGTATTTGCAAAGGATATGAATGGTGAAAACAAAATTAATATAGAAGAAGTCTTGCAATTGCAAACTGCCAAACTTTTACCTTTTCTTTTTCGCTTTCAAATGACACATTAGAAGGAGGAGTTTTTGTTGGCCTTTTTTGCTTGTTCTGATGGATGTAGGAATATCAAGCCAGTCTAGCCGAATCTTGTTTTGATGCATAGCGAGTTTGTTGTTAGAGCCGAACGCTCGTAAAAACTACGGACTGACTTGTCATGATGCGTTTTTGACGTTTTTCAACGGCAACTGTTTTCTCTCAGACCCTCAGATTCTAGGAATATATGTCAAAACCTGGCGCGGAGTAATGTTGCCTAATTAATATCTCGCATTTCCGTCGTGCGGAGTGAATTTTGCCACACGAAACAGAAGCGGTGATGTCGGTCTCAGTAAAACGATAACCGTCTGCGAACGGAAAAAATGAAGAAAAACAGTTAAAACATAAGAAAAGGAAATCTTGCGGTGATTACCCTTTTACACATTTGTGACGGACGATTTTATTAGTTTTTTCAGCTAAGTAATTTTTTTTTTTCTGAGCTGTATTCGCGAAGGCTTTGTTTTAAGAGTTTCATCCTCCGAAAGGTCGAAAGCGCTAATTTTTTTCTAGGTAATCGTAAATTATCTCTTTCTTTTTCAGCATGTCATGGACAAAAATAAAATGCAATTTATCCTTGACCTTTCACGAAATTTATGTTTAGGTTTGCGAAGAAAGTAATTTAAAAATGTAAATACGATGATTTGTATAACGAAAATTATATAACAACCTCCCTGCTAAAATAATTGGATTTGATCAGTTGATCAAGAATTAGAATTACAGCCTCCTGCTCTTTTTGGATTCTGTAAAAGCTAAAGTACTTCAAATAAGCTGTTAATTACTTCGGCAAAATTCAAATTCAAATATATTAACGTCAAAAATACTAAATTAACTTAATTTTTTCATTTCTGATAAAATCTACCAGTTGAAGAATAATAGTTCTTTTCCCTTCAAAAGTATAGTGAGCTTTCCATTAAAATTTCGTTCCGGAATTGATTTCATTTTTATCTCATATCACGGATATGGGCAAATACGCTACACTCATGGTATAAAACAGCTATTATTATTAAACGGACATATGCTTCCACGCACGCCAGCACCCACGCAGTGACATCAGCAAATTTCCAGAAAGCTATTAGTGAAACGAGTTCGGTCTATAAATAGTTTGTTCCGCGTGGGCGTGAGTGTTAGTTTATATTTTCCGCGGGACCATTTTCTCCTTATCCCGACGACGACATGATATTTTAGATTTTGTCATGCGTTGTGCATTTGACATTGACTGATCCGCAAACATTTTGATTCGAGATTTGAGGACATTACCGTTTGCATTTTAGTAGAAAACTGGTCTTCGTGCTGGTTGCTCAATTTTTTACTGCTACACCGTGCTGGCGAGACCCAATGAGGTCGAAACAGCTGTCCACGGTTGCAATTCTTGGCTTTCAGTTTGAACTCTATCATGTCGTTGTCGCGTTAAGTTTTTTTTCAACGTAGTAATCGGCTTGTTTCATTGTTATTCTATTTCTGTTATTGGTTGATCAGATCTTTAACAGATCGTTTGCAGTCCGTTGCCACATTTCTAGTTGCTTTTCTCGTCTTCAAACTTGCCTTTAGTAATGCTGTTTACTTTACTTTCTAGGTCCATGTGAGTTTGAAATTCCGAAACGCTACGACCCGGATGAACGGAGAGACTCCAACCATTCCGCCAACAAAATCAACATTCATGAAATAGACGCTGCTATTTACTCTCATCCCGACGTGAACGAACACATGGCAGCGCCAGCTCCCGATCCTCCCCCTCTTGGAACGTTATTGTTCGAGCTCCGTTATGAGAACTACGAAGCACAACTTAACGTCCACTTGATCGCCGCGCGGAGGCTACCGGTCAGGCACTTGGTAACCGAGCCAGGAGTGGCTTCGCATGGTGGTATAATCAAGTGCGATCCCTTGGTAGAAGTCTGTTTACTGCCTGAAGAAAAACCTGTCGTCGAAAGTTACACTCAATTTGGCGTTCAGGATCCGCAATTTGACGAACATTTCTCGTTCAAGCTCACGTCCGGGGAGCTGAACGAGAAAACCTTACGGTTCACTGTTTATGACTATAAAAGGCGTCATAAGCTTACCCCCATAGGTCACGTGTTGTATTCGCTCAAAGGACAGGAGCTAGATGGCGCCATGGTGATAGAGAGGAATCTGAAACTCAATTCACAGGTAAACTGATAAATACTGAATGATAACAACGTGATTAAAGGAGTTCAATCACGGTTTGCACATTTTGAAAAGTTTAGCCTCAATTTTTCAAATTCGTCGTTTGTAATCCGTGTCAATCTTCGCCATCCTTGACCATCCGTGTTCCTTAATGGTTTGTTATTATCTCTTCGATGTTTTCTATCTTAGCAAACTAGTATTTTCAGGTTTCTGTCCATTTAAGGGAGATTTTGTACGTGGCCAAAAAGAGACAAAACACCCTGACTGAGCTCCTTTAACAAAACTACTAGAACTGACATTTTTATTTTCCTCTTGTTGTTAGATGGGAAAAGGTTCATTCAAGTATGCTTGGGTGTTGGACAAGCTCAAGGCTGAACGTGAGCGTGGTATCACTATTGACATTGCCCTCTGGAAATTCGAGACTGAGAAGTACTATGTTACTGTCATTGATGCCCCAGGACATCGTGACTTTATCAAGAACATGATCACTGGAACATCACAGGTAAGACCTCTATGCTGTTATGAATGAACACTGCACTCAAATGGTAATGCATGTTTGAGTTGTATAATGTTAAGAAAGAAACAAACTGCAGAAAGTTTCACGTTGTAACATTCATTGCAGCCAAATGATTGAGGAAACAATATTTGGAACATAACATAACTGAGTAGGGGTCTGCTCTGTTGGTGTATCTTGGTACACCAATATAGCGGTTATAGAGGTCTACTAGAAGTGAAACAAATTTGCTGCAAACGACAGTAGTATTGTAATACTAACTGCGCATTTTGATAACATGTAACCTTGGCAGTTCAAGGTCTTTCTGATGATTGCCTCTTTGGCTGGTGTTGGGCATAATTAGGATGGTAATCTACAAACCTTGAAAAACAGAAACAAAGAAAATGGAGCAAAGTCTGTGAATCACAACCCTTAAATGTGCCATTGTAAACCCATTGAAATACCCTGTTTCCAGAAAGGTCTGCTAAGATGGTTGATTTCCATTGTATAGAATATTAATGGCATATGAATCAGGGTTCTCATTAAGTACCAGTTGCTGGCTAAAATACTGGCGTCTTCAATTTCTGTGCTGCCTACTTTTTGTGAAATGAAACATCTGTGAGTTGTTAGGTTTAATTTAAGGAGAACACAGGCTTTTTGATTTGTGGCTGAACCTTGACTGTCCTTGTCTCAGGACAGTTCAGGCAGGGAATGGGTCAATTCAGAGCCTCCAAATTTCAAAATTTTATGAGGAGCATAACCCCAGACCTCCTTAGAGGCTTGCCCACTCGGCACTCTAATCAGTGTCCGTCGTCGTCTTTGTGAAACTAGCCCTCTACTCCCAAAACTAATTTGTTGCTCAAATCTATATTCAGGCTGACTGTGGCGTGTTGATTGTTGCTGCTGGCACCGGTGAGTTCGAGGCTGGAATCTCCAAAAATGGCCAAACGCGTGAGCATGCTCTGTTAGCTTATACTTTGGGAGTGAAGCAGCTTATTGTTGGTGTTAACAAGATGGACAGTACCGAGCCTAATTACAGTGAAGCCCGTTTTAAGGAAATTGAGAAGGAAGTTTCACAATACGTCAAGAAAGTTGGCTACAACCCAAAGGCCGTTGCCTTTGTTCCCATTTCTGGTTGGCATGGAGATAACATGCTGGAGCCAAGTGAAAAGGTATGCAATTTAGCAGATCACACATCAAGATCTGTTTGTATGACAGAAGACCAGCATAAAGCAGGTTTTATTTTTTTGTTTATAACTTTGTATTTCAGTGCCGTCTATGGTTATTCTCTGTCTGTACTCAGAAGCAAGCATTAGTCAAAGAACAATTTTTACTGAAAAACACATGTAACTAATACCTAATACCCGGTAAACTAATATTCAGAGTGTGTTTATTTAAATTGATCTTCTGTTTACATGGTGCATGTCCCATGAACTGGCAGACACCGTGTGCATGGACCTTGAAACTCATGTGAAATGGTCTTAATTCGCAGTGTTCTGGCAGTTGGCCACATTGGTTGGAAAAATTGGTGCATGTACTGGAGTTTGGTGACTCATCAGCATAGCTAAGGCCCAGGTCAAATTTCTAACTTCGCATGAAATGAATCATATTGCAACTTGAGTTGGTCCAAACGGGTAAAGCTCAATTTATGGGTCAAACGTTGAACTTAATTTGAATTTAGATCGGCCAACAGTCGTGTAAATATTTTAGTTCTAACTTGTGAGTCTACAGAAAATGGTACTGTCGTGCAACAAATCATAAGCTCACAGAGGGGACCATAAAACAAGTTTAGTAACCAAAATCACAGGGATATAGTGGACTTAGTCATTGTTATATCTCAAACTCTAAGATTTCATTTTTCATTGGTAACACTTTTTGGATTCCGTGTCCAGCAATAGTGGGAAACGATTTTTAATGAAAAATTTTTTTTTTCAAAATTTCATGCTTGATTTGGACCCAAATAAAAGTAAACAAAATAATATTAGAGAAAAGAGAAAGTAACCGTCTCAAAATCAGTACAAAATTACCTCTTTCTGAATGTTTTTTAATTATACAAAGTCAACTTTTGGATGTGTTCTTTGCAGTCACCAGTGGATGCCATGTAAACTAATGATTGCTAGGTTGAAAACCAACAGTTGCAGTGTTTCTATATCAGCCATTTGTCCGCCATCACAAGTCTGCCATCCTAAATCCACCCCAACCAGCATTGCACATACTGTGCGATGCACTTTGGGATTGTTACCAGATGGTGAACTGGTGACCTAAAAAAACAATATAGTTTCATGCATAATCATAGTGCTATAATCAAAGGAACTACTCGAATTGTTGATAAATAGAACAGAAAAAACTTGTCAAATGAATTTTGATTGGCAAGGCTGAAGATGTCCAAGGCAAACAATTTTTTGGTTTCATTATTTCTGAATTATGGTAACAACACTTTACCAGAAATGATTGTTACTGTAAGATCCTAGGACTTGATATCTGTCTGTAAAACTTTGGTTGTTCATAATAGAAATGCTGACTTCAGTAATGTGCAGGAGTGAAAAGTCGTCTAATAAAATCATTCAAACTGTGAAGTGAATGCATCAAATACACTCATAATCTTTGATTTTTGCTAGTCCTAAATAAGAACCTGTTCAATCAGGTCTTTCTGGTCCTCTCTCAGTATTTTTCAGTTTTATTAATATATGTGCCTTTATTTATAGATGCCCTGGTACAAGGGATGGAGTATTGAGAGAAAGGATGGAAATGCTTCTGGGAAAACACTCTTCAATGCCCTGGATTCCATTCTTCCTCCAAAGCGTCCAACAGACAAGCCTTTGCGATTGCCATTGCAGGATGTTTACAAGATCGGAGGTAAGCTAATCGTTCTACATAATCACTCATGGAAACCTCTTGGATATGGTAAAGTTCTTGAAGTACTACAATTATCAGTTGAGTAACAGGAGAAGTAGCTTTGGTGACAATGTTTTGGACTTAAAATTATGGTGTTGCCACAGGCAACTTTCCTTGTTTCCAATGGTAACAATATCTTTCCCTGCAATTTCCCACGCTTTGCTGCCAGTGACATCAAAGGCCAACAAGGTGCAGCACAAGTTGAATGTTATAACCTGGTCACCAAACTTACCGTGAACACTGGCAGATAAGCTGCACCTTTTTACATGGGTAAATACGGTATATAATACAGAGGAGTGGATAGTGTTTATATTATCTCGTCGCAAGAAGTTACCAGTCTATTGTTCTCAGTTAACGTTTTGATTGGTTAGTTTTCCTCAAGGTGGCCTGTTTTGAGTAGTTGCTCTTTAAATATGAGAATATTAATTAAAAGTTTGCCTTATTTGACTTAATGCAGGTATTGGAACTGTGCCTGTTGGTAGAGTGGAAACTGGGATCTTGAAACCAGGAATGGTTGTCACTTTTTCTCCTGCACAACTCACAACTGAGGTCAAATCTGTTGAAATGCACCATGAAGCTCTTGTAGAAGCCCTGCCTGGAGACAATGTTGGATTCAATGTTAAGAACGTTTCAGTAAAGGAAATCAAACGTGGCATGGTTGCTGGAGACAGCAAAAATGATCCACCAAAGCAAGCCAAGAATTTTAAAGCACAGGTAGGAATTGTTCTTCTATTACTTCTTACTCTTCAGTGGTGTTATTCCCAGTGAAAGTTAACCAAGTGTTTTCTGACTTCAGTTCTTGTTTAGCATAACACAAATTGGGAAAAATCCAGTTAAATCTTGATAGTCCATTAATGGATATCCTTTGGACCAGTTACAAGGAAGTGTTTTGGGTCATCATATTTTTAGGTTCATTACAACTTAAGGTTACTTAAACCATGAACACTCCATATTTTTGATGCATTTTTTGATAACGATAACAAAGGAAGGAGACCTCTTGGTGTGTACATGCAAATTTGTTCAGATGAAGAGGCCTCATTCTGTAGGCAGCGAAACAATCTACATAAAAATGCCAAGTGTTAATGATGTAAGTTTCCATGGTAATAAAGTTGTCTGAGCCTGGTTGTCCTCCAGTCAAGGCTTAATTAAGTTTTGATTCACCTGTAACAAGTGTGCTACTTTATGGGTGAATTGTTTCAACTTTGGGCAAGTTCTTCTGCAACATCAAGGGTCCATTGACATACTTGGTCATATCCAGTGTTCTGGGCTACAGCCCTTATTGACAGCCCTGCTAGTGAATGTCCTCCCCCCCAGTTTTAAAAAGGCTACATTAACAGGGCTAGATCACAGTGTTTTAGGCAATTCTGTTTTTTTTTTTCTTTGAGAGCTCTAAATTGAATATAAGCAAAGAAACAATCTCCCGTCAAAATCACAGCCACATAAACATGGGTAATTTCTCAGCATTATGGCAGTTTATAGAGGAAAAGGTGGGTCCATACTTTTAAAGTTTGTGCAATAGACAGACTGGGTTAATCTGCTATTTTGCTTATCCAGACCCAGGTTTGGCTTTCTGTTTCTTTTGGGACAGTTAATCCTATGAGGCGGGGCTGAATTTGCTAAAGATTACAGGAGCTACCTCATAACTACATGTATGGTATCCTTTCCCATGTTTTTTTTTGTACATTTCATTCTGGCAGGTGATTGTCCTCAACCATCCAGGTGAAATCCATGCTGGATATGCTCCTGTGNTGGTTTATTATCATCTCTTTGATGTTTTTCTGTCTTAGTAAACTATTATTTTCAGGTTCCTTCCATTTAATAGAGATTTTGTACGTGGCCAAAAAAAAAGACAAAACACCGTGACTGCGCTCCTTTAATAACTGCTTCTGAATCAGACTCAGTTGCTATCGATTCAAGTTCCTTTTTTGAACCATATGGAAACTCAGTTTAAAATCACAATAATCAGATGAAATACACGTAGTTAGGAAAGAGAGTAAATAATGTAATATAGCCTGTTTCGTATTGGTATTACTTGTTTATTTGGTGATTTTGGACGTTCAGATCCAGAATTAATATAAGCCTTCATGATCAAGTCCGCCTTATGTGTTTCCTTGTACCTTTATTACTTCTGTAACAGCTTTTTCTCAGTCTCTCAGATTCTTTTTTGTCAAAATCATCTTTCATCATAATCCTTTTCTCTATGCTGAGATTGTATCGTTATTTTTTTTCTTCAGCCTTATGGTCACACCCGCGGCGAGATCCTCTTGTCACTCAACTATAACCCAGGATGCAACACGCTCACAGTAGGAATAACGAGAGCTAAAAACCTTATACACTTTGATGCTCATTCAAACAGAGGTGAGTAGCTCTGCTCATTAAACCGTCCTGCTTCTAATATGGGAAACCTGCGGAAGGGTCCAGGGGAAGAGATTGAGCTTAACATGTTAAAGTCAGATTAAATTTTAGCTGTTGTTCTTTTGGTTTTCAGCTTACGCGTAACACCTTCTCCCTCAAACTCGTTCCCAGGGTTTCACCCTTGCAAATTTCTAAGAAAAAGTACAAAGTTCAAAATGTTAACTCTTTTTACTCATTGGCATTTGTTTCTTCTAATGTTAGCTCTGAGAATGAGAGGTTACCTCAATACAATGAACGTTTCTGTTCTCGTCACCTGACTGAATGACAATGTTCTTACAATGTAAGAGGAAGTTAATTTTTGATATAAAGCCTGATCTTGATTTTATATATTTTTTCAGAATACTACGTTAAAGTCACAGAAATCTTCTCAGGACACAAAGTGAAGACGAAGCGCACTCCAGCTACAGACGGTGAGAGGCATCCGATCTTCCGCAGTTCACTCTCGTTCCAAGTCCCTGTCCAACGTCTCAGCCACACTAGCCTGGTACTGACCCTTGTGGGTCGTGGAAAGATGAGGAGCAGCAAGACAGTTGGCCGCGCTATTGTGGGGCCTGGTATCTTTGAGTCCGACACCGAGAGGAGCCACTGGGGCCGAATGATTATGTCACCTCTTATGAAGGTTGAACAATGGCACGCTCTGTATTTATAGCATAAAAATTATTTTTTTATTTTTGCACAATATTCCTACTCCTTTGTATGTCAGTCTGTCAAAAAAGCCACTGTACATAGCTTTGTCATATCAGAACGAGCAAAGTACTTCGCGGATACATTTTATCAGGGTCCTTATCTCCAAGCAGTAGTCAAGCTGGGTTTAGAAAATATTTAATATAGCTCTTCGCCGATACGTCATTTAAGCCAACTGACTTGGGCTCCAAACCACATCATCTTGCTTTTTCAGTAGCGAAGTTACGCGGGCGTTTCTGCAAGGCAACCTGATTTCTAATGTAATTTGAATACAACCCTCGCTAATAAAAGATGTAACCGATTGTAGATTTCGTTTGGAGAAAAGAGCATTTGTATTTATGAGTTGTTTTATTTATATTATCAGTGGCAACAATTAGAAACGCGTCTTCATATGCCATTTGAAATGGAATAAAAGCATGTCATTTCAATCCATGAAAACTGACAGAAATAAAATCTCAGTGCAATTTTAAGACTTGAAGTTAAACTGTGTATATAAATACTATGATGGCTTTCATCAAAGGTTTCATATTTTGTTCACAATTTTTCTATTTACGATAAAGCCGGTCAGTTTACGGTGAAAGAAAACTAATTTTTGACATTTGTTAGTTCTCTCGGGAAAAGGCGCAGATCTGCAGATACCTATCTTGCTTATTACGAGAAAAAACACATCTTCATATTCTCAAAAGAGATTTCAACGTGATATTTTATCAACAAACATCAATGATATTAAAGCTGTTGGAATATCGGAGTGATAAGTACTCTAACAAACCACAGCTTTTTCGGGGCATATTTTTGTCTAAGATTGAAATATATAAACGGAATTCGAGAGAATTGGAAAATTTTTCCTGGAAACTAAAAATAGTAAGTAAGGACATTACAAATAAAAGCCTGGAACGTTTCACATGATTATTACGTATATATTTCTTTATAGAGAGAATGCAGTCATGTTAAATACTGTTTTAAGATTATAATTCTCTCTTTTTTTTTGCACATAATTTTAAAAAGAAATGTTACGATGGCACGGATTTTAAGGATGACATTCATCGTTACTCAGTCCTGCTCAAAATAACTTTTAATTTAATGACCTTTAATTGTTTACCCTCCTCTTCCTATGATAGTTTTAAGGGAAAAGCGGGCAGATTTCATGCCCACTACTTTGACTAGCACTGACCCTGCCGAGAACTAGTTTTATCAATCGAAATAACTATTGAATCTATTCTACTCTTCCTCCGTTCTGAGTTCAATTTATCTTAATAAATGTTATACAAAGTTTGTAGATTACATATGTAACACAGCATTTATTTTCTACAATGTTTTTAGAATTGAGAATAAAAAATAAAAAATAGTTTTAAACATCTTGACAATTTCGTTTTGTACCTCCTATGTAGTTTTGAGGTTTTACATAGTTTCATTCGACCAAGCATGCATTCACAACATAAGTTTCTTTGGCTGAGTATTTCTATGGAAACTTAAAGCCTGACTGTCTGGTTTTGTTAAACATAACCTTTTCTCTCAAAGATACCTTTAGGAAAAAAATGTCGTCCATCATGGACGTCATGGAATTAGAAAGTTATTAGATTCGTTTTTGCCCTTAAAAACGTCCTGGTTGCATGTAATACCCGTGGAAAACTCTGATCAGCTAGTATACAGTGTACTCAGGGGCGGATCTAGGAGGATGGTGCAGGGGGTGCGCATCTTTCCCCCCTTCCCCCCCCCCCCGAGATGAAGCGTTCTTCTTTGTATTCGCTTTTAAAATTTTTTTCCCCCATCAGTCAGTTATGCCATTCGCTAGTGGTGCAC